GACAGCAAGCATAACTCTGGGATCTGCCTCCCCCTTCCCAAACTTGCTTAGGGCTGCCAGGCTCCACTCAGTATGGCCAGGCTTCCCGTTTCACCCCAATCCAGCCACTCTGCTCAGGATTTCGGTTTGGGAGGGTTGGGAGGGTCCGAGAGCAGTATCCCCAAATCCTTTGTTCTTGTGCAGGCCTCTGCTATCCTGGAAAGGACGCTTGAGAGTGGAACTGGAGATCGGACTTCTGGTCCCAGTGCTTTTCCTGGCTCCATAGGTGGTCTCGGGCAGGTCACGCCCTCTCTGGGGCTTCAGTTTCGTATCTGTAAACTAACTGCTGGTTCTGGAGGGGCCTCCCAGTCCTGACTTCTGTGATCCTGTGATGTCTCGAAAAAGTTTCCTACCCTCCTTGCCTGGCCTCTGTTCCCCCCGCACTCCCGAGGCAGAGTGAGGGGGCAAGTTGCCCTGATGTTGCCATGGGGACTAATCTCCAAGAAGGTCAGTGAGCTTCTGGTTCTGCCTTGGCTGGATGGGGATTAGCACCTGGGTATGAGCCCCCACCCAATGCCTCCACACCCGTGTCGCCCCACTCTCACATAGGCCCTGAGCAGCCTCCACACCCAGAAGTTCCAAGGCTGGTCCAGAGTCAATAAATAGGTGGGGAGTGGGGCAGGACAGCTGCCATAGCTGTCTGTCTGTCCATTTGTGGCCAAGAGAGAAAGGGAGAGAGATGGAGTCAGATCATGATCTAGAGGCTGGAATCTTGTCCTTCACCTTCTGCCCTTTAGTGGGGAGAGATGGGTCTCCCAAGATAGCCCACCCAGAAGTTCCAAGGCTGGTCCAGAGTCGATAAATAGGTGGGGAGTGGGGCAGGACAGCTGCCATAGCTGTCTGTCTGTCCATTTGTGGCCAAGAGAGAAAGGGAGAGAGATGGAGTCAGATCATGATCTAGAGGCTGGAATCTTGTCCTTCACCTTCTGCCCTTTAGTGGGGAGAGATGGGTCTCCCAAGAGTGGCAGTGGAGCGGGGGTGGTGGTGGTGGTGTCACCTCTACCTTCAGTCCTGGCTGTCCCATCCACAGTCCACATGAAAGCCACCTCTGTCTCCTGTTGGGGGTAGTTTCCCCTTACCAATGCGGGGTGGGGTGGAGGCCATTTCCACGTAGCCTCCCTCTTCCTCCATACACACTGTGCCTTCCACCTCTGGTTACCCCAACCTCTGACCTTCTGTCTTTAAATCCCTCCATCTCTCCAAAGTATATATCTCTGTCCCTCTGGGTTCTCTCAGGTTGTCTCTGCCGGGGGGTGGGGGAGGGTTGGGGAACAGGGTGTCTGCAGTTTCTCTGGGCCCTGAAAGTTCTTCTGTGGTTCTCATACCCCTCTGCGCTGCACCCTCTGTCTGTCGTTCTGTCTTTCTGCTTGCATTCTCCACTTTCCCCTCATCCTTCTCCCCAATTCCATTTCCAGTTGGCTATTTCCCAGTCCCACCGCCGCCTGCACTCCAAGCTCAGTCTCTTTTCCGCTTCCTCCACTCCCTGCTCCCTCCCCCGCCCAGGGTGCTGACAGGGATGACAGGAAACAGGCTCAGGCTGGGAGCTGACAGGGGAGGGGGGAGGGGGCCTCTCCAACAGCAGCTGCTGAGCACACACCCCCCCCTCCACCCCACCCAAGCCCAGCACCTGCAGGCCTGCCTGGTGCCTAGAGACTCCACCCCTGGCCAGGCAGGGGAGGAGAGACTTGGATGAGAGGCCTGATCCCTGGCCAGGGCCAGGAAATATGGTCTTGGTGATGGTGGGGGTGTGGAAGTCCAGGGAAACTTGCCTGGAAGTGGGGGCGAGAAGCAGTGGCTCCCTGTTACAAGGGCAGACACCAGCCCACTGGTGACCTTATGTTCTCACCGCCCCCTCCCCAAGGACTGCTGTTTCTGTGTGTGTGTGTGTGTGTGTGTGTCTTGGGGGTCATCCCAGGGGGAGAACTCTGTTGTGCAGCCTCAAGATCTGGAATCCCATTGGGGTTGGGGCTGGGGTGGGGAGCTCTAGCCCTCTTCTATGATTGTGGAGGGGAGAGGAAGACCTCAGGCACAGGGAGGACGTGCCAGTGCCAGGCCAGGCCTCTGACAGGAACATCATTCAGTGCCAGGCAAGGAGCAGAAAGCTGGGCCCAGAACAGAAGCCTGGTCAGGGAGGAGGGAGGCCAGGATGGGGGCTGCACACACTCTAGCCTGGGACCCAGGCATCTCTCCCCTTCGCCAGGGCTGCTGCACAAAGATCCCACCTGCAGTCCCCTCCTCTCCCCAGACCTGCCTGGGATCTGTCAGAGCCATCTCATCCCCACCCTCTTCCTTTCTCTCTGCTCCAAAGACTCAGCAGATCCCATGGGGGCCTGGAGGTAGTCCGGTGAGGGGTGGCAGTGGAGCGGGGGTGGTGGTGGTGCAGGAGACAAGCCAGCCCCTCTAGCATTATTCAAGTTGGGCCAGAAGGGACCAGGGACTGCTGACCCTCATTCTCCTCTCCCTGGGGGCTGCCTCTGCCTGAGTGTGCAGGAGTACAGCCCCTCCCAATGATGCTTCCTCACCCAAAGGGCAAACTGGGGGTCCTTATTGCTGTTTAAGGAAGATTCTTCCTTCCAGCCCCAACCTACAACTGGCCCCTTCCTCTGGGGCTGGCTCAGCACCACCATCAATTTGGGGAAGGGGAATGGAAGACACCTGGAGTCACAGGACATAGACTCAGCTGGGGACTCAGACTGACCCCAGGCCTTGTGTGGAGCCCTCAGTCCAAGTAGGTCCAAGCAGAAGGCCAGGGGTCTAGGGCCATCTCTGTCCTCCTCCTCCACGTCAGCTCTTAGCACTTTGAGTTCCCGGAAAGGAGGACGGTCTGCCTCAGGTTTGGGTTGTAGCTAATTACCCATGGATTCCTGCCTAAGCTGAGGGCCACTTAGACTCACCCCAACACCCAGCTGACTGAAACAAGAGGCCTTGGGATTATGAAGTTTAGGAAAGGTGATGAGGTGCTATGCCTGGGGACTGCATCGGGCAAGGGCTACTAGACCCTGTGTTTGTCTTTTCCAATCAATCTGACTGTTTTCAGACATAAGAAGACTGGAAGAGAGGCTAGGGAGATGGCAGGAGTGAACCCTCGGGATGACAGCACCGAAGAAATCTGGAGGAGGAATTAGATCTCTGTCATGGTTGTAACCCTCCACACCTCACCGCTAGTGCTCCAACCCCGTAAGGCCTCCAACTTCCCCGGGTCAGCTAGAAGCCCAGAAACCAGGTTATGGGGACTGGTGAGGCCCTCTCTGGAGGCCAGACTAACCTCCTCATAGCGCAAAATGGGAAAACCCAAGGAGAGGCCAGGAAATGACTTGCCCAAGCCACAGAGGTCGCTGGGACAGAGCTGGACCAGAAGCAGGGTTTCCACCTCCGGAAGGGCTCCTGTTCCGGGCCACAGCTCCCTATGCCCCCCGGTGGAGCCTGCCTGGCGGTCCGCATTAACCAGAATGGAGCGGGCAGCCCGGGAGTTGCGGGCCTGGGCAATTCAAGGCAAGGCGGGCGGGGCCGGATGGGAGCCGGATCTCCCCTGGGAGCGCCGCACAGCCTCTTCGACTCGTTTGGCGGCGGCAGCGGCGGCGGCAGGTGCCTGCGTGGCGATCCGGCTGGGCCCCCGGGCGGGTGCTGAGAGGCCGCCCCTGCCTCACGCGAGCCGAACGAACAAAACGCTCAGGTCCGGTTTGTGCGAGGGGCTCGTCGCGGGGCGGGAGCGGAGGGCCCGGGGCCTGGCTGTGGCCCTCGATGTGGTCCGGGTCTTCCGAGAGCGCAGTGCCGGATAGCGCTCCGCCAGCCGCCGCCCTCACCTGAGCACATCTGCGGCTGACACGTCGGCGGCGGCCGGAGCGGCCAATACAGGTACGCACCTGGCCCGCCCCTCCCTTTCTGGCCACCCTCCACCTGACTGGGCCCTGCACACGCCCCGGAGCTTGTGCCGAAGCCCCGGCTCAGCGTGCTCTTATACGGCCTGTTCAGTCCCGCCCCTAGACACACATACACACACGCACACTCACACCTGTCCGAGCGCCCGTTTGCTCGGGGCAAATATTGACTCAGAGAAGGCGGAGCGCCCTCCGCC